ACTACAGGAGAGCATACAATTGGCTACACATGTAACTTTTCTATATTACCTATTTAAGAAGTCTGCCTGAAGGTTTCCTACCAATTGCCATACCTAACACTCCTGCTTGGATGTTCCACTTTAAACCCTCAGAACCTGTAACCTGTGTTAACATCACTGGTCATCTCTGATATACCAGATCATCGTCCTAAACCTTAGAACTAATTTATCCTCAAGGTAAACCCCTCAGAGCCTTCTGTACCCATTTTTACAGCTGACCTAGGTATCGCTATAGCAGAACCAACACTTGCGGTCAGGGCTTATCATTAAACTACTATGCCCTTGTAAAGTTCACTTAGACCCCAGCATCTACTTCATAGCATAAACTCTGTACTTTAGTATACCCCTGCCTTTTGTCCAGCCTTTTTACCAAACTCCCAATCCAGATAGACCATGTAGGACTATGACCAGTCTATTGATATATTAGGTTGGCTCAATATCCTTTTCCTCCAGTTCGTTCTGGTGGCCTGGTTGGTGGTACCTCTGGGACCCCAACTCAGAGGTTCTTGCCCATTCGGCTACTACGACCAGGTACTATGACCTTAGTATCCATTTCTCCAGGCTAGCCTTTACAGTAGGGCCATCAAAGATCCAGCTACTTTTCTATTCAGGTCTTTCCAAATGGACTTCTTGTTATCCAATTTCAACAGATTTACATGGTTACAAGAACTTATCTAGTGTTTGCACTACCCAATTTGTCGGTTTGCATTCCTCCGTGTAACGCCATACTTACACAAATGCCCTGTGACCTGCCAGTCATGCTGGTGCAACTACCATTACAGGTATCCTAACCCAATCATTAGTAACAGTTGCTATAATACGAATATTACATAGGTGATTATCTAAATTTTTGCCGTCGATGGGATTTGAACACCCAACCTACCACTTGGGGGGTTGACAACATGACCACTTCACTAGGTCACCACACCTACTACTAGTTTTTATATTAGCTACTTTATTTATATATATTATATATTTGTTTTTAAGACTTTTATTATTTCTTAACTAATATTTTTCTTTAGTTTTTGTTATCTAATAATTTTTATTTCTAGCTTTTATATTATTATAAGCCTTTTAAGTTTTTGCTCTTTAATTTTTAGTCTGTTTTATTTTTTCTGTTATTTAATCTATTGTCATTTTAATTTGATTATTATTTTTTTTATTAATATATCTAAAATTATATTAATGTTATTGTTTACTCTTATTTATTGTTAGCAACTATTTTCTATCTGTTTTTTTTATATATCTATTATATCTATTGTTTTAATTACTATTTAGTTTTCTTTGCTTTATATTTGTTAATATTTAATCAATGTTTTTGTTTTTTCTTTTAATTATCTTTTTAGCTATTTATGATTTTATACATTATATATTATTCATTTATTTTTTTTAATCTTTTAATATATGTTCTTATTTAACTTGCATTGTTCAAGTATTTTAATTACTTGTTCTAAAGTACTTTGTACTTTCTACATTCTAAGCTACTGAGTATTTTTGTTTCTATTACTTTAGATCATTTTGCTTTTTTTTTTTACTTGATTAGTTTTAATAATTTTTTAGTTGCTATTATATAATTAGCTTTTTTTTAATATTAAGCAACTAGTTTAGATATATTAAATTTGTCTTATTTATGCTAACTATATATTAAAAAAGAGAAGAGAATATCCTTTTAATAAAAAATTAAATAATAAATGACACTACCTTTAAATATACTAAGTTATTTCTTTAACATATTTCAATTTTTGGTATTTTCTTTAGCTTCTATATATTTTTTGTTAAACTTGATTTTTAATAACCTTGTATTATTTACAGTTTTGTTGATTGTCTAAGACTGTTTTGTCTATTTAGTCTTGCTAAAAGGCTACATATTTGCTTTATAGCTAATTTTTGTTATAATATTTTGTAACTACCAAGATCTTTTTGTTTTATTATGCAGTTTTCTATTGTTTTTTACTAGTTATTTTTTTGTTTGACTAGACTTATTATTGGTTAGTATATTTTATTTAAACTTCTGTTTGACATCTTTATTAATTGTAGTATATAGCTTAATTTTAGTATTATTTTTATATTATTTATATATGTATTTGGCTTATTATTATTTTATTATACTTTAGATCTTTTATTATTTAGTCTATTATTTTTTTTATTTTTTATTTTTATATGTATTTTTTGCATTTTATTGTTCAGTTATATTTTTAATAAATGAACTATTTATGTTTTAGATCTTTGATTATTTTATTTTTTATATATATTATTACTTTTTTTTTTTTAATCTTTATATTTATTTTTATTAGCTTTGATTTGGATTTATTTATCATTATATTATTTATTTTAAAAAACTTTTTAACAATTTCTAAGATCTCTAATAGTTGTTTTTTAGTATTTGCAATTTATATTATATTATCTATATATGCAATTACTACTTGGCAATATTTTATAATATTATTATATTACATATTTTTTTAAGTTTGCTACTTGATTATATAGGGTGTTATCAATTAAAACAGCCCTTTTTTACTTTTTTAAAAAAATTGAGTTTTTTCAATTTTCTAATATGTATATATTTGACAAAAAGATTTACCAAATCACAAGACCAAATTATATAATAAAAAGATCTGTAAATTACAAAAAAGTAAAAAAAAATTGAAAAACGACAAAATCTAAAAATAGAAATTTAAGATTTCTAGATCAACTAGAATACTATAAAAATGAAGATCACCTAGATTATCAATAAACATACATTAAAATTTTTATGTAATGACTTTTTTTTATAATGCTAAAGTTTACTAAATTTCATTTATTATTGCAAAACTATATAATATCGATATTTAAGAACTTTCTTGTGAACTTTCCTCCTGTCTTTTGACATTTTTGGAGAACTTTCTTGTAGACTTCCCTCTTGTCTTTCGACATTTTTGAAGAACTTTCTTGCAGACTTTCCTCTTGTCTTTCAGCATTTATTAGTAAGTGAACTTTCTTATCTTTCAACCTTTTCTAGTAAAGCTTGTAGACTTTTACTAATCTTTCAGAATTGTTTGGTGAACTTTCTCATAGATCTTTTGTTCGTTGAAGAATTTTCTTGTAGATTTTCTTGTTTTTGATAGTTTTGAAGAACTGTCTTGTGGACTTTCCTCCTGTCTTTCGACATTTTTGGAGAACTTCTTGCAGACTTTCCTCTTGTCTTTAAGCATTTATTAGTAAGTGAACTTCTGATCTTTCGACCTTTTCTAGTAAGCCTTGTAGACTTTTACTAATCTTTTGGAATTGGTTGGTGAACTTTTTTCTTGTGGATCTTTCATTTGTTGAAGAACTTTATTGTGGATTTTCTTGTTTTTGGTAGTTTTGAAGAACTGTCTTATGGACTTTTCTCCTGTCTTTCGATGGTTTTGGAGAACTTTTTGACTTTCCTCTTGTCTTTCAGCATTTATTAATAAGTGAACTTCTGATCTTTCGACCTTTTCTAGTAAGCCTTGTAGACTTTTACTAATCTTTTGGAATTGGTTAGTAAACTTTTTTTCTTGTAGATCTTTCATTTGTTAGAGAACTTTTCGGTGTTTTTGAAGAACTTTCTTGTAGACTTTCCTCCTGTCTTTTGACATTTTGGAAGGATTTCTTGTAGACTTCCCTCCTGTTTTTCAACGTTTTTGGAAAACTTTCTTGCAGACTTGCCTCTTGTCGTTTCTCTTATCTTTTCGGCATTTAGTTGGTGAACTTTCTTGTGGATTTTCCTCTGGTCTTTCGGCATTTTTTGTGAAACCAGAGAAAGGTTCACAAAAAAGTTCACCAACTATTTTTTTGTGGATTTCCTTTTGGTCCTTTAACATTTTTCTGGTGAATTTCATGTAGATTTCTTTCTGATATTTTGGCATTTTTTTTTAAAGAATTTTCATGTGAATTTTCTTCTGGTCCCTCAGTGTTTTTCTGGTGAATTCCTTGTAGATATTCCTCTGGTCCTTCTGGTAAATATCTTGTGGATATTCCTTTAGACCTTCAGTGTTTTCTGGTAAATTTCATATAGATTTCTCTTTGATTCTTTGACGTTTTTTCTGGTGAATCCCTTGTAGATATTCTTTTTGTCCTTTAGTGTTTTTCTGATAAATTTCATGTGGATTTCCCTCTGGTATTTCGATGCTTTTCTGGCAAATTTCTTGTGAATATCCTACAGGTCCTTTAGCGTTTTCTTTTAGAGAATTCTCTTGTGGATTTTCCTCTGGTCCTTTGGTGGTCTTTTGGTGAATTTCTTGTCTATTTCCCTCTGGTATTTCAGCATTTTTTTGGAGAATTCTCTTGTGAATTTTCCTCTGGTCTTTTGGCAGTCTTTTGGAGAATTCTCTTGTAGATTTTCCTCTGATATATCAGCATTTTTTTAGAAATTCTCTTGTGAATTTTTTTCTGGTCCTTCGGTGGTCTTCTGGTGAATTCCTTGTGGATATCCTTCTGGTCCTTGGTGTTTTTTTTTAGGAGAATTCTCTTGTGAATTTCTCTCTGGTCCTTCAGCATTTTTCTGGCGAATTCCTTATGGATATCTCTTTGGTTCTTTGGTGTTTTTCTGGTGAATTTTATTTGAATTTCTTTCTAGTATTTTGGCATTTTTTTTAGAGAATTCTCTTGTATATTTTCCTCTGGTCCTTTGGTGGTCTTCTGGTGAATTTTTTTTTAGAAAATTATTTTGCGGATTTCCTTCTGTTTGGTGGTTTTCTGATGAATTTTTTGTTGGTTTTCCTCTTTCTGATATTTTGGTATGTTTTTTGGAAAACTTTTTGGTTAAATTTTTTTCTTTTTAGTATTTAGTTTGTAGATTTAAATTTTTTAAAAAAATTTATTCTTGTTTGTATAATCTGTATTTTAATCTGTATTATTTATTGTGCTGTATTATAATATTATTTTACAATAAAATTAGTTTTTTTTAATATTATTATACAACTTATAATTAAATTAAACAATTTAATAATTAATTGGTTTATTGGTTGTGATTTTGTAATTAATTGTTAATTTTATTTAATAAAAAATTTAATATTTAGTTTTATTTAAATTTTACTAGTTTAGTAATAGTAGGCATTGGACACAAATCATTTTTTTTGTTAGGATTTTGTACCTGAGTTCTTATTTGTTCATATAAATACCATTGTCATTCTGCACTAAGTTCAGGTAATTTTTTTTCAATTAATTGATTAAAATTATCTTTGTCTAATTATTTCAATTTGTATAGTTATTTTTTCTTTATTAGAAGATGTACTAATTTTAACTTTTCCTTTATCTAAACTATTAAATTCAAAATAATGTTGTTTTAATATTTCTGAAATTGTTGTAAAATTTTGTTTTAACCAATTTGTCCATTCATAAAAATGTACAACTTGATTTCCTTCATTATCAAAAATTGTTTGTGTAATATTATATCCACCAGAAATTGAATTTTGAACTACATTAATTAGATCATTAAAATTATCTACTTTAGATTTTCTTAAAAGTATTTTTATCAATCCAAAAAATTCATCTGGACTAAATTTGGTATGTCCTGCAACCATGAAACAATAAGTTATACTATCATGTAATCCTGTTAAAACTCTCCAAGCTAAATATGCAATTATTGCATTATTCTTATTTTGTTCAGAACAATTATCTGCATGAATTATTAATTTATTTTCTTCTAATCCATGTAATTCAAAATAATTATGAACTAAAGAAATAACAGTATCTGCTCCTTTACCAACTAATTCACTTTCTTTAATAAGATAATTTACCTAAAATTATAAAATATATTAATATAAATATAATTATATAATAAAAAAATATTATTATTTACTTGACATGGAAATGCATCATCACATATTCCAAATAAATGAACTTTGTATAAAGATTTAAAATAAATTTCACCTTAATAATAAAATAATTAATAAATAATTATTAGTATTTATAATTAAATTATTATAAATTTAATAAAATTATTTACTTCTTGTTGAGATGAATGTGGTAATTAAATTTGTTGAGCATAATCCCAAGAAAAATGAACTGTAATATCTAAAGAATTTGGTTTTCCAGAACGTATTATATTTTTAATTCCAAATTTTTTAATATCTTCATATGCTATTTTAATATATTTTCTAATAAAATTTTTAATAATAAAAATAATTTTATAAAATAAATTATTAAAAATTAAAATTATTTAAATAATTTATAAAAATTAATTAATAATTAAATATAAAATTTTAATTAAATTTAATTTTTATAAATTTAAACTTACTTATAATTTTCATGTTCTTCTTATGCCCATTTAATATGTTTATGCTATTCTAAAACTTTAGTTTCTTTTTTTTCAATTGACCAATAATTTGCATTAAATCTCATATCTTTACATTTTAAACATAAATCACTACATGGAGTTAATTTTTTGATACATGATAAAAATTTTTTCTAAATTCTAATAAATGTCATTAAACTAATTTCAAATTGATCATTAGTATTAATTGCTTCTAAATATTGAGTATATAAAGATAAATAAGTAGTATCTGCTGGTAAATATATAATAGCAATAGTATTATCATGAAAACTTTGTCCTATAAAATTTAAATTTATTATAAATAAAATAATAGATTTTAAATTAATTATAGTATTAATAAAATAAAATTATTATAAATAAACAAAATAATTATAAATAAAATAATTTAAAAATTACCTAGAGATGGTAAACCATTTTGTTTAGCAAAATTTCCTATAAAGGTAATTACTTTCATTACTGTTTCAAAAGATATTGTTCGATTTCCAACTTTTCCAGTTTTTGAATTAATATGTAAATTTATATTATGTTCTACAAAATAATCTCTTAAATTTTTCCATCTTGTATCTTCAAGACTATAAATTGTTTTAAAAGCATTTTTACAAATTGATTTTCCTTCAAAGCTATATTCTGTAGTAAGCTTAGATTTCTTTGAATTTTTAATTATTTTTGGTCATTTGGTAGCAGAAATTATATCTAATAAATACATATCTTGTAAAGATTTAGTAAGATTTTTAAAATTTAAATATCTTTTTAAAGCTATAGAATATTCAACTTGAGTTTGTAAACAATTTTTTTTACAACAAACTTTTTCAAAAGATTTTTTAAAATCATTATTTTGTAATAAATTTATTTTATTTTCTAAATCTTGATTATCATTCTCTTGTTTTTTAATAATATCTTTTTCTTTATAATATAATTTTTTAAATTTTGAAAACTCTTCTTCAGTCCAAACCTTATTTTCTAAAAGATTATTTTCTATAATTTCTAAAATTTCAGATGATTCTGATAAAAATAAATTATCATCTTCTTAAACTAAAATTGTGAATATAAATTTGAAAGATCTGCTTGTAATTGAGTATTTTCTATATGGGTTTCTTCAAAAATATTTTTATTTAAAGAAAATGTAGACATTTTTACAAAATAAAAATTTAAAATTTAAATATTTTAATCAATATAACTAATTATATACATATTTAATTACAATACAATATGCAATATTCAAAATTTAATTATTATTCTATTATTGTATTATATAAAATTTAAAACATATTATTTACAACAATAATAATGCAATTTATGCAGAAAAAAAATTAATCTAATTAAAATTTTATATTGTTAAAAAAAAACTTATGCGCACTTGTATCTATAATACAATAATAACAATCTTAATAAGCATGTTTATTGACAAAAATGTTGTATGCATCTGCAAGTATATGCAAGAAACACCAAAGGAAATCTACAAGATAATTCAAATTCAAAAAAGTGCCAAAACACCAGAGGGAAATTCACATGAAATTCACCAGAAAAATGTCGAAAGACTAGAGGAATATTCACAAGAAATTTGCCAGAAAAATGCTGAAAGACAATAGAAAAATCCACAAGAGAATTCATCAAAAAAAAAATGCTGAAATACCAGAAGAAAATCCACATGAAATTCATCAGAAAAATGCCAAAGAACTGGAAGGATATTCATAAGGAATTTACCAGAAAAATGCCAAAGGACCAGAAAAAAATTCACAAGAGAATTCTCCAAAAAAAAAAAACACCAAAGGAACAGAAGGATATCCACAAGGAATTCATCAGAAAAACGCTGAAGGACTAGAGGGAAATCCACAAGAGAATTCTTCAAAAAAAATTGCCAAAGGACCAGAAGGAAATCCACAAGAAATTTACCAGAAAAACACTGAAGGACTAAAGGGATATCTACAAGTAATTCACCAGAAAAACACCGAAGGACCAGAGGGAAATCCACAAAAAGAATTCTCCAAAAAAAAGTCAAAATATTCACAAGAAATTCAACAGAAGACCGCTGAAGGACCAGAGGAAAATCCACAAAAAAATTCTTCAAAAAAAAATGCCGAAATACTAGAAGAAAATTCACAAGGAATTCACCAGAAAAATGCTGAAGGACTAAATGGATATTTACAAGGAATTCGCCAGAAAAATGTCGAAAAACCAGAGGGAAATCCACAAAAAGAATTCTCCAAAAAAAAAATGTCAAAATATTCACAAGAAATTCATCAAATGACCACTGAAGGACCAGAGGAAAATTCATAAGAAAATTCTCCAAAAAAAAACACCAAAGAACTAGAGGGAAATCCACAAAAGAATTCTCCATAAAAAAAACACTGAAGAACCAGAGGGAAATCCACAAGAAAATGGTTGGACTTTCTTGTTAACATTCCTCTGGTTTCACCAAGAAAGTTCACCAACTAAATACTGAAAGAACAAGAGGAAAGTCTACAAGAAAAGTCTTCAAAAAAAAATGCAGAAAGGCAAGAGGAAAGTCTGCAAGTTTTCCAAAAATATCGAAAGACAGGAGGAAAGTCCACAAGAAAGTTCAAAAACACTGAAAACATGAAAATCCAAGTTCTTCAACAAATAAAAGATCCATGAGAGAGTTCACTAACCAATTCTGAAAGATTAGTAAAAGTCTACAATGTTACCTAGAAAATGTTGAAAGAATAAAAGAAAGTTCACTTACTAATAAATGCTGAAAGACAAGAGGAAAGTCTGCAAGAAAGTTCTCCAAAAACATTAAAAGACAGGAGGAAATTCCACAAGAAAGTTCATAAAATCACCGAAAACCACAAGATCCACGAGGAAGTTCACTAACTAATTTCGAAAGATTAGTAAAAGTCTACAAGGTTTACTAGAAAAGTCTAAAGATCAGAAGAAAGTTCACTTACTAATAAATGCTGAAAGACAAGAGAAAGTCTGCAAGAAAGTTCTCCAAAAATATCGAAAAACAGGAGGAAAGTCTACAAGAAAGTTCTTCAAAACCACCAAAAACAACAAGAAAGTTCTACAACAAAAGATTCATGAAAAAGTTTAACCAATTACGAAGATTAGTAAAATTCTACAAGGTACTAAAAAATGTCGAAAGATCAAGAGAAAGTTCACTTACTAATAAATGCCAAAAAACAAGAGAAAAGTCTGCAAGTTCTCCAAAAATGTCGAAAGATAAGGAAAGTCTGCAAGAAAGTTCTTCAAGAAAGTTCTCCAAAAATGTCGAAAGACAGGAGGAAAGTCCACAAGAAAGTTCTTTACCAACTAATTCTAAAAGATTAGTAAAAGTCTACAAGATTTGCTAGAAAATGTTTTTTTTATACATTGTAGTAACAAAAAACAAAAAAAACTGACAAGAATGATATACAAAACATAATGAAAATTTTATTGATCGTATACTAATGATATTAATCTAAAATAAATTAAAGTTACAAGTTACCGACCAGTATATTCTGGAATTTCTAGAACTGTGAAATGTTATTTTTAGATCAAAAATCTTGTTTATTATATTTTTTTTAAACCTAATTTACTCAAAATAATTTACATGTAAAAAAGGGCTGTTTTAATTGATAATCTTCTATATATTCTAAGTTTTTATCTTCTTTTATTCTTTCTAATAGTAAGTTATATAAAAGATGTTATATTAATAATAATATTATTTTATCTTAGTTTATTTTATTTTTTGTTATTATTTTTTTTGTTAAATATAGTCTGTAATTATTTTTAATTGTCTTTTGTAGAAAATATTTTAATTGTTTTTTTGAGTATTTTGATATTCTGCAATACTAACTTAAGGTTTTTAAATAAAACTAAGTTAAATATTTTTTTTTATATTGCAGAAGTATTTATATTTTTTTGCTTTTTTCTTTTGCTTTTTTAATTATTATATTTAAAATCTGTACTAATTGCTTTGTTAAGTTTTCTATATTAGCAAAATTATAGATGCAAAATATTTTAAAAGATTTTGCATAGTGCAATAATTTTAAAATATTGTGAAATAAATTTTAAAATTTTTGCTCAATACAAATTTTTTAAAATATTGTAAAATATATTTTAAAATTTTTTGCAAAATGCAAAAACTTTTGAAATGTTTGATAAAATTTTATAAACTTAGCAAAATACAAAATATTTTAAAATATATTAATATTGTAATAGAATTTATTTTTTTTCCCTATATTAGTATATATTTATTTTTAGCTCTATATTATATTTTATAATTTTTCTAATATTTTTACATAGTTTATAGA